CCCGACTGGCCCCAACGACTCTTAAAGGCTGGACGAGAAGCGCGAGCGAGCGAGTAGAGACACGGAAAGCGAGTGAGAGGTTCGGAGGGCGAGCAAGCGGGGCACCGGAGGGCGAGGGCTCCAGTGACGCCCTGAAGCCCGGATGGGCGCGAGGTGGAGCCACGCGCGGCGCCTCGGCCCTGGTTTGCCGGCTTAGCCTGGAGCTCCCCTCCGCCGTCCGCGCCCAGATGAGAATCGAACGCGTGGTCCAGAAACAAAAGCAAACCATCCTTCGACACAAACACCTTTTAACATTGCACACACAGATATATACATACACCAGAGACCCACAACCTCAAGTATCCACACTCGTGCGCGCGCACGCACACACATACACACATCCCTCACACAAACTTCTCAAGCGAAAAGCAATACACAGAATCGCCCCTTCCTCCCCCACTGTCCTTCTCTGTCCTTTTCTCAGAAAACTAGCCACCACCCAGCAAAGGACTGTCAGAACATTTGAAAACAAATGGACCTATAAAAACAGACCCTTTGTGTGGATTATATTATATATAAAATGCTCCAAGTCCTGCTTGATATCTACTTACAATGAGACTTTTTTTTTCCTAAAAAGGAAGCATCAAAAAAAAGAGGCTTAAGGTGAGAAATTAAACTGGAAGTCTAGCGACAGTTTCTCTGTATTTCATAACATCTGTATAAATAGGGTTCAAAAGATTGTGTTCGCTTTTATTTTCTTGTAAATGTTCATTCGAATAGAGTTTTTTTTTTCTTTTTTGGTGAATTCCTGAAATTCAGGGAGTTTTTTTTTAATTTTCTGATGCACTTTGTGAAAGTCAGTATATATGTAAAAAGATATTTAAAATGTTGAGTTATCATTTCACTCAAACACGTAAGTTAAGGTCATCTAAAGAAATTAAATGCGTTTATCTGTATGAAGAAAATCTTGACATATTTTCATTTTGGTATTATTAAAGGACTCTGAACAATACACTTCCTTTTTTTTATTTTAAATCCTGTTTCCCCCTTAATAACCTTTATGTGGTTGACTTTTTTGTTGGGAAACAATTCCATTAATGTTAGTTGTAGGTAATGTAAAGTTTATGTGGGTTATAAAAGCCATAATACATATACATTTTTGAGAAGTCAAAATTATTTATTTGTATATCAACAGCATAAATTAAATTGGGTTATAAGAACGTGCAGTTGTATTACTTAATGGGTGGGCTCTGGAAAAATGACATTTTAAGTATCTGCATCACCTAAAAACAGAAGAGTTCCTTGGCGAGTCTAACTGGGGAGACACCTAACTTCCCAGAGGGGTCAGAGAAAACTCTGGTGGATTTGTTTGTTTTTTGAAAGTAATTTGAAAACAATCTGTGAAAGGAAAAAGCTTTTTAGAGAGGTCTTTTAGTTCTTAAGACCCTCTAGGTTGGGAGGTATCTCAGGGGAATAAATCGCTAGAGTCAATACCCCGGAAAAGACATTTCATGCCTAAATGAAAATCTTGTTAAATGTTATTAATTTTGACTTAGAGCACACAGCAGCCCCCTGTGCCTTGTATTCCCTTATTAGGGATTCATGTCTTATCAAATATCTAATTAATCTCCTAGACATCATTTGTTCTGGCCAACTTTATCTCAGCTGGTCCACGGGGAAAACTCCAAATATTCTCTGTGACAAAGCTCCCTTGAAGATCTTTTTAATTGTCTAAATTAACTGCACCAAATTTGCATGTCAAACAGTAAAGGGCAACCTGAGATAAAATGTAAACGTTTTAAAAGCCCCCAAACTAAGCACTTGATTTGATAACTAGGCTTTTTAATGTTATGGAAGACAACTGCTCCTTTCCTTTTCAAAGAAGGCTGATCTATGCAAATAGTGAATTGGAAATGCCTAGGTCCCGGAGCCGTCAAATGGCCCTCGCAGGTTATTTGAATATCAGTGGCGCTGCTTCTGAAAAGGTTCAAGGATGCTCTCTGACTTCTTTGTGATTACTCAGTGCGGCGTCTTATTCTGAAGAAAAAAACTCAGGAATAATTAAAGGCTGGGATCAGGCCTGGGAACACATTTGGGACAGGAATCTCATTTAGACAGTCTCTTTCAAAATAAGGCACAGTTAAATTGACCAGAAGGCAATTATTGAAATGAAAATTATTTTCACTCTCTTTGTCTTCTGACCACCAACTTAACAGCACCAGTTTAAAAAGAGGGAGAAGGGAGGGAGAGTCGAAAAGAAAATTGGTCAATGAGACAATTTTTGCAATTCGGAAAAAAATGTTAATTTGGAAAATAAAGTACATATTCGCAGAATAAAAATATTTCTAAAAGGCTTCCTACACAATAGGAAATACAAGAGAAGTCATCACCAACAGATTTTTTTTTCTTTTTCGATTACTGTCCTTGGAAATTTGAAGATTTTAATTCTTAGAAAAGAAAAAAATTAATTATTGTTATTATCAGTCATCAGAACTCGGCTCTGAAAAGCCAAGTAGTGAAGTAGCGATTGAACAGAACGAAGGTCCCCAGCGGGGCGTTTGCAATATGAGGTTCAGTGGCTTCTTTGCTTCTTTTGCTCGCTCCCCCCCACCCCCACCCCCGGCTTCGGCAGCCCTGCTCTTCCACAGGGAAAACTCTATTCTATAGTTTTTCTTCACTTTGGCCATTTTCTTTCACCGCTCAAGCCGTTTCTAACGGAGACTCTTCGCCTCTCATGCTCCTTCGGGGTTCATTTCTGGTCTTGGGGAGAAGCTAGCAGAGGTGCTTTGGACAGAAGCGCTGCAGGCCCAGAGTGTGCCGGGTAGGTTTTGGGGCCGGGGGCGGGTGGCGTGGAGGTGAGGACGTGGTGAAGGTTCCCGAGGAATGAGGGCGCCCGGGTCCCGGAAGCTTTGTTTCTCCTTTATAATAAAAGCAGATCAAAGGGCCTGGCTGTGCAGGTCCCGCTTGCCGCGCAGCTCCCTCCGCAGGCCAGTGATCAAGGCCTGTGCGCCCTGCCTCTGCCCCGCGGGTCAGCCGATGTCCATCACCGCGGCTCCCGGGAACGGCGGGCGGCGACACAGACCCAAGTGTCCTGCGGGGAGACCAGAGTGCACGGAACCTGAACCCGGTGGGAGCGGGACAACCGTTCTTGGCCGAAACCAACCTGGGAACACGGATTCCAACTGCCTCCAGCCCCTCCTCCGTCCCTTCTCTCAGCCGTAGGCATCCCAGGGGCGCGGAGAACCTTGACCCCAGTGGGTGGCGACCAGCTGAGGCCGAGCAAATTGGAGAGGGCGTGCGTGAGAAGAGAGAGTCCATAAGCGAGGACACTAGCTGGGTCCCCAACGGAGGTGGGGCCGTGCCTCCCCAGGGCCACCTCGGGGCCCGGGTGGCCTGGGCCTCTCTGGCTTCGCAACCCAGAGGAGGTGAAGGCCGCCGCCTGAATCCGGGCACAGATGTGGAGGTCGGTGCGAGGCTGGAGGCCGTTGCACCGGGGCCCGGAGTCCCTCCCGAGCCGGGGTGAGGGAAAATGCGATTTCGTTTCAGCGGGTTTCTCAAAGTTTTCTGTTCCGCAGCTTCTAGGGCAATAGAGGAACCAAGACCCAGCGTTCCTCGGCCTGCGCCTATCCATCCCCAAACCACACCCTCCCTCGGTGCTTTCCTTTCCGGACGCTGCTTTAACCCCCTGGAGTGAATTGGATCCTACCTGGTGAGGAAAAAGGAAAGGAAAAATTTTTTCTTTATGCAAAGGAGAGAAAACATTATTTTGACGAGATTAGATTGTGCACCTGAACGGCGTGTCTGGACATTCCGTCAAGTCGTTGCAAATCGTGTAAAATTGAATTTCTTATTATTCAGATGGAAACTTTATTTATTTTAACTCTAATCTTATTTGCATCTATTATCTGTATTCACCAAAGCTCTCTTCCACTACAAAAATGCAGATGAAGTAAATCTCACATAAATCCCGCCCATTTGGGTAATTGGTATACTAAGTGTTTATTTTAAGTGAGAATAATTTAGCTACAAATTTTCTTAAGGAATAACATTCTTAACACATTAAAAAAACTGAAAACTCTGATTTGCTTTTATGTTTGACAGTAGCTCTTGATTCCCACAAGAGGAGCGTGGCGAGTGCGGCTCGCTGGCGCCATCTAGAGCTCCAAAATGGGAGAGCCGCCCGGTCTGCCTGGAGCTTGGCTCTTAGCGTGCGGAGACCGGCTTTTCCTGTGAGCTGCAGCAACCCAGCGAATCAAGCAAAGAAAAGCGGGGTTTTGTGTTCTATCAGGGAGCGAGCTCCGCTACTGGGGGGCATTGCTTAGCCGTGGCTCCCAGGGAAGGGGGTCGTTTCTGGAACGTGCTAGCTGGAAAAGCCAAGCAAAACAGAATAACGCCCCGTTTGGCCCTGGTCTTAGCATTGTTGCATTCAACATCCTTTTCAAGGCAACTTCGGGTCTATCAACTCAGAGAACGTTGAGCGCAGTCGGCGGCGCGTGGACCCTGAGATTGGAACCTAGCTATGGGAGCAGCGCCTACTTGGCTCAACGACCCCAGATTGAGGCCTCCTGGCCCGGAAGCCCATGGGGCCGGAACCAAGCAGATAAAACCCGGCCACCAAAACCACCCCCACATTCCCAGACACCCCTGGATGGAGAGGAAAGCCGAGGACCCGCAGCTTTGGCCAGCCAGGACGCAGGGACCTCCCAAGTTGCTTTCTGCATAGCCGCTGCTCTCCAGGAGGCCACCTCAGCCCAAGTCAGGCGCCGGGGACGCCTGTGCAGGCCGAGGCCGGGCGAGGAGCCCCTAAAGCCCTCGCTTCGGACCCTTCCGAAGGGTGCGAACACCCCTCGGGCACAGATCGACCCTCTTTGTCCTTTTTCCCTTTGAAACCCAAATCTAAAATCAGATAACAGTTGGGGGCGTTGGCCAATTTTCTCTCCTCTGTGCATCGCCCTCCCCCCGCCGCCCCTTTCCCTCCTCTTCCTAGTCCACTACCCCACCCCCATCCCCAGTCCTCAGACGTCGTGCAGTGACTTCATCCCTCCCCCACCCCTCGCGCATTTATTACATTTTAATTTTAACAGCGACACCTTCCAACCCCGTGCCCGATGCGGCGGAGGCGCAGTCGCCCGAAGCAGCGAGAACCCGGCCGAGGCGTCTGGGCGCCTGGCTCCCCGAACTCACGCCAGGGAAACGCAGTGCGTTTCCGGGAACTCGCAGCCACCTTTGCAGCGGGTACTCGGCTGGGTTTGTATTTGCTGTTTTAATACAAACCCCGCCGCACTGCCTATTTCAAAGATGTGCTAATTACTACTTGGATAGCAGGGCGCAAAGTCCTTGTCCATTTCCCAGTACAAAGTAGGTTGCTAGAAAATTTGAAATTGCCTTTCAGCCTAAAGCTGCCTTACCTGAATGTCATAATTACAGTAATTATGTACATCCAAATTACATGCTAATTAAATTAGAATCAAATCGTTCTAAATCGAAATCAAATGAGGTAGTGAAGAATTAATCAATGACAACATAAATAGAGAGCTTCCTTCAGAGATATTTATTGTAACGATCCAAGGAGGAATTTGATCTGAAAAAGTCACCTGTTTATTTACTTTCAAATTAGTAATCAGTTATTATCCCTTCTCCATAATTTTAACCGTTCAGTGTTATTTACCCCCCACCCTTTCCAGATGCTGGAGTTTATAGAAATATGTATGAGGTAAATACATACAGACATGCCTCCCCCATATATTATTGATATAAATACGTGCGGTATGTTTTCATCTCCAGTTAGGGAGAAGGTTTCAGAATGTCCATGGGGATACATCCATCCAGTGCTCGTTCTCAGGGACCCGGGAAATGTTAGCACCTTGGGAGTTTTCTGTTTTTTTCGAAAACCTTTGCACACTCTTCCTTTGGAAACGCACGCTGGGCATTTTGCATTGTTTTGTGTGCATCTTATCCTTCCAGGGTGATTCATTTATAAAAGAAATGCAAACTGATAGGGTGTGACTCCCCCAGTCCGTTATATGATTGCAGATTGATGACAAGCGTTGACATTTTCTTTTTTTGCCCCAGGAGCGAGAGATTAGCACTGGCTTCATAAAAGCGCCTTCTTCACCTGTGGAGCCCCAGCCACCAGAGAAATTCGCTCGCCTTCCTAACTATTGCTGGCGAGTCCGCCCTCCGACCCGCGCACTGGAGACGCGCTGGAGGCCGGGCGAGCTCAGGCGGGAAGTGGCAGGCGAGGCCCCGGCGCGCAGCCCCCTGACCCGCAGCCTCGAGGAGTGGCCTGGGAATTTCTTCGGGATGCGTTTAGGCCACTGTGGTGGAGAGGGGACGAAGGACCGGTACAGAGAGCTAACTCGGACCCTTTCCCGCTACATTTTATGAGTAGGGAGTCTAGAGGCCTCCTAGCGCAAGAGGCGCATCTTCCAGAAAGGTTGTGCACCCTAATTCTCAGTCCATTTGAGAGTGCTCAAAAGATTGCCAGAAGCGTGCCGGGAAAGAAAACATCAGAGAATGCAGTGTGGCGTCACTTCTGGGGAGGGGAAGGGGCGACCCCAGTTCGGAACTCACCCTACCACTCTACCCCAGCCTCTTCCTGCTTCCTTTTGGTTTAGGGTGATGTCCTTGGAAGCCCGGCTCTGAACCGCACCAGAGTTCCCGGACCTCTACTTCTTCCCACCCCCTCGGGAAGTCTTTGGAGCAGTAGGGACAGAGGTTTTGTGTGTTTCCGAGTGGGGGAAGGCGGCTCACAGGCAGTGAGGCCGGAGCGTGCATTTCTCTCCATTCCAAGCAATTCTTGGCATTTCATTCCGAACCTCGCTTCATTATTACTGTTACATTCTGGGGGTTCTGGGGTTCTGTTAAGTGTGGTGTGAGGGAGGAGAAAAGGAGAAGGTGTCGAAAAGTTATCTGCTTCTTTTTCTGCCAGCAGGAACCGGGATTTAGGAGCCTCAATCAGAACAGCTCTCAGTTGCGTTTCCCAAAGCTAAGTTCCCTCGTTTCTATTTGTTCCTCACAACTTTTAAAAAGCATTTCTCCTTTTGATCTTAAAATGCTCCCAAGGCCCGCAGGTATTGCATGCCTTTCTTTATTTCTTTTCAAGAAGTGGTAACTATAGCAAAGGTTTCTTTTCAGAAAACCTAAATAAGATGTTTTAGTATCCTTTAGCTACTGGAGCTAAAAACGCAGCTTTCTTCCTGGTCTTAAGCACAGGGTGTGGAGGATGTGGCCTTTTTGAGAGGCCTCCGCCAGCGTCTTGGCTCCTTGGTCGTTAAGTAAGAAAAGTGAAATGGGCCAAGTGGATTTTGAACTCTGAGCTTCAGGGCTAAAGCATACCAAAAATGTTCCGTGATTAAAATTGGGAAGCCTGCTTCCAGCAGTGGGGACTTGATTTGTTTCTCTGTCAGCAAGCCGTCTTATGGAAGAACAGTAAGAAAGGTCCAAACCTTTCACATAAAAAGCTTTCTTCAGATTGCATCTGTATGATTCAAAACAAGATCGATTTCACATTGCAAGGTAAGCAGACCTGCCGCTACGCTGGCTGCAGCAACCTCTATTTTGTCATTTATTAAAAGAAATTATAAGTAATTCACTATGTAGACATTCAGATAACTTAAGTCCTAACCTAGCAACCTGATCGTTCCTGGTCATTTGTAAATCGACAGCACCTCCTACAGGAATCAGTTTGCTAGTGTTATGTTAAGTGTTAGGCTTGGGGCAAAAGGATTAAGGGGATGTCCCCCAAACATGTTCTATGCCTCTCAGTGCAGTTCCAAGCCTATGGACAAATCAAGAAATGTCTACATGTACCCAGATTCCTTTAAAAGAACTTCTCTATTAAAGGTAAGAAGAATGACCAACCTCACCGGATGGATTTTCACAAAATTGTCACTTTGGAGTACTAATTTTGCCTGGTAGTGGAGATTAAACCTAGGGCCACTCTAGCATAGATTAAAACCCCAGCCTTTTTTTTACTTTTCTGAGCTGGACTGTGGCTAAGTTGCCCAGGCTGGCCTCCAACTTGTGATCCTCCTGCCTTAGCCTTCTGGGTAGCCACTGAACCTAGACTGTTGAGGACTTTTATTTGGGTTCTTAAATCATATTAAACCTGGAGGATTCTTCTTTGGCTTCTGTACTTAGAGGAATCTCTATAGACAGATCCCCCCCGCTTTTTTGAGGTTCATCTCTGGTTTTTACATTTCAAAAGCAAAAGTAGAATTAGGTGCCTAGTATTTTTATTAAAAATTCACTTCCCCCCCTATATCATTAGGGTGCACAAAGTACACTAGATAAAACCTCTTTAAAGCTGTTTATTATGTTATGACTGTGTGAAAATGCTTCCCTTCCATTTTTAAGTTTACAAAGTTAGAATGCTAGCTTTTTGGGGTTGTTTAGCACACGCTTGGGTGACCAAGGCTATAAGACAAACAGCAAATTGACATCTTCCATAACTATGTGGGACTTTTTCTCCAAGAAAATTTTTCTCATAAAGAAATAGCACTTTATGGTTTCTCAATCTTAACAATGAAGATTAAGTCAGAGATTTAAAAATAAGCAAATCCTTACCCTAAGTACATGTATGAAGACATGAATGGTGTGACTATGTGTACAACCAGAGACATAAAAAATTGTGCTCCATGTGTGTACTATGAATTGAAATGCATTCTGCTGTCACGTATAACAAATCAGAATAGTGAACTTAAAACACACACACCCCCCCCCAAAAAAAAAAACCTAACAGCTACTTTAAAGTTAAAAGTGGACTACACTTTTGTGAAAGTCAAAGTGAAAAGAAATATGTATTTCTTTAATTCATTCTCAATTACAAGATTCATTTTTAACATTTCTCTTCATGAGTACTATATTGGTTCAGAAACCATTTTTAAAGCACTAAGTATTGCATAGGTTTTGATATTATGAAAATTATAAAGTCTAAGAAGGTATAAGATAAAATAATCACTACAACACCGATGAACTTAAGGTGTAAATTAGCAGTCTATCAATTTCAAATGCACACTTATTAATATATATAATGTGAAGGAATGGGGTCTTTGAGATGAACTGTAAATCATGAAAGAACAGTGAAGAGGAATTCAGGTTCCTCTCCCCTCCTCTAGTTCTCTTAATCTAAATAACCAAAGTATTCCTTACACCTTAGTTTCTTTTAAATTGTAGCACACATGTTTTCTGTGTGTGCAGACAAGAATAAGAGATATGTATCAGACTACTTGGAATGATTTTATTTAACTTTTCTTTCAAATTTACTTTCTTACAGAACCTAAGAAATTGTGACTGCCAACTATCAAAACCATCTAATCAATATTTGTTTTGTATTAAATGACAGATGTCTTTAAAAAAGTAGAGCCCTAATAACAAAATATTATGTCCATGATATAAAATGTGTTTTTGAAATTGCATGTTACTTATGATTTGTGCTAATTTTTTTCTAAATCTTTCCTTTGAAATATAGGAGAATTTAAAGTTTAAATATGTCTTATATTCTTATACTCATGAAATGTACTGAAATAGTCCATATTATTTCATTTGGGACATAATCAAAATGCTTGATATTTTTAAGCAAAATCTGATAATAGTTATATGCCGGTAGTAGAAAGGCCATCTATGGTAGGTAGTATGGTCCTTCACAGATATACATGTCTTAACCCCAGAACCTGTACATATTATGTTTCATGGAAAAGGAGGATTAGGATTGTTAATCCATTGATTTTTTTTTTTAGAGTGAGAGAGGAGAGAGAGAGAGAGATAATTTTTAATATTTATTTTTTAGTTCTCAGCGGACACAACATCTTTGTTGGTAGGTGGTGCTGAGGATCGAACCAGGGCCACACGCATGCCAGGCAAGTGCGCTACCGCTTGAGCCACATCCCCAGCCCCTAATCCATTGATTTTAAAATAGGAGATTATCCTGGATTCTGCAGGTGGGCCCAGTGTAATTTCAAGGGTCCTAAAAAAGTAGAATGCCGAATATGGAGGTGTCTGCTACTTGACTCCCCTTTGTTAGTTTTGGAAAATGGAGGAAGGGAGCCAGTAAAAAGCTGCAAAGGTGAGCAAACAGAATTTTTTTTCCCCTGAAGCCCCCAGAAGGAACACAGTCCTGCCTTGATTTTTATTATGTTGTTCTAAGTTTGAGGTAAAATTCTATGTTACTTCTACGGGAGCACAGAAAGCTAATGGATCATCCAAATGTAATTAGCTTACTCTGTAGAACAAAACACCTGAAAGGAGTTTAAAAGCCTTAAAGAAATATTGATAAATATCCCTTGCTTAATTCACACTAGTGAATTTCAATGATTACACTTTGCTTCAAGCAAATTCAAATCTTAAAAGTAATAACAAATTTGAATTGACCAAAAAGAAAATCAAATTATAACCATTCAATGTACTGTCACTCTTTTAATTTGTTTCAGAACAAAGAAAATGTCAGAATTATATGGAGTTTTATCTGGTACAGGGGCACAAGAAACAGTTACCAACAGAAAATACTTCTACATTTTCAAAATACATTACTTACAAATATTTGCAAAATTCATTCTTATGGTTTTATATTTGAAATGACAGTTTACAGAGATGGAAAATTAAAATAGAGCTTTATTTATTACAAAGATAATAGTACATAATTTAGCCCTTACTAAAAGTGTTTAGTAAGAAAGTGGAGATGCTTTTATTACTAGGTAACTGTTACATGCGGTCTCTTTATTCTCTCCCGACTTCTGCTTCTTTCTCTGTGAGTCCCTTTGGTGTGCTTATCTCCGGGATGCTCCCTGTGCATTCTTTCTCCTCTATATACACTGGTGCCATGGCTCCTGCTGTCATTTCCTCTGCTGCGCTCTTCACTGAGACTCCGCTGTGGCTGCTTCCTTATCTCCCTTTGCTTATAACTACCAGGACTTCGGCTTCGGCTTCTCCTACTCCTCTCATCCCTGCTACAGCTTCTGCTGCTCCCCTCTTTTTTTTCTGATCCTCTCTTCTCTGGGCTGTGGTGGTGGCTTTTGGACCTGTGGCTATCAGGATAGCTCTGTTTGCTATTCTCTCCGGAACTCTCTTTTTTTAAAGACCTAGACTTTTCCTTGACTTTTTCCTTGTTACTATGACTATTAGAAAGTTTTTCATGAAGTTTTCTCTTCTTAGACTTGTCTTCTTCAGAATCACTGTTATTTCCTGAACATTTGTGTTTCTTTCTTTTCTTCTTTTCTTTGTCACTCTCACTACTGCTTTCTGAAGCTGTACTGGAGGAAGAGGAGGAGCAGGAGGAAGAGGAAGAGGAGGAGGATTTGCTTTTATGTTTTTTGTGTTTACTTCTGTTCTTCTGTAACTTTTTCTTTTTTCTATCTTTTTTCTTTTTTTTCTTTTCAAGTCTGTCCAATTTCCTGTAATTGGGGAAAAAATAGTAGCAAACTAAAAAATAGCCACTTCACCAACTATAAAATTGTTAATGGATAATACGCTTTCTTAGAAGCTACTAAAAAATGGTATCCATATATAAACAACTTATTTTATTAAACGGCAAATCATTTTTTCCTTTTAAATTGTTCAAGGCATGTTTACATTATGTTTAAGTAAATAAATGTATTAAGTCAATTCTCTGATTGTACTTCATTAATGGAAATGACTATTAAATTCTTACTGGGTTAGAATTTGAAATTATTTAGTACTCTAAGGGTATGGTAATCCTGATCTAAAGAAAGCCTGTGAGGGATGGGACTGTGGCTCAGTGGCAAAGTGCTGGCCTCGCATGTATGAGGTACTGGGTTTGATCCTCAGCACCACATAAAAATAAATACATAAAAGTATTGTGTCTATCTACAATTAAAAAAAAAGAGAAATATCTATATCTAAAAGCCTGTGAATGGTGTACACATTAGTTGAACCTACTGGAAACTTTCTGTGTATTTTATTAAAGTATGAAAATATTAATATTACATTATCAGTATTCAAGAATAAATATTAATATTACATTATCAATATTCAAGAATATATTCTCCAAAAATTCCAAATAAAAATACACTTTAAAAATTGATACCCTTAGGGCTGGGGTTGTGGCTCAGTGGTAGAAAGCGTGCCTAGCATGTCTGAGGCACTGGGTTTTATTCTCAGCACCACATATAAATAAAATAACATAAAGGTCCATTGACAACTAAAAAAAAAAAAAAATAAGATACCCTTAGCTGTGCATAGTGGTGCATGCCTGTAATCTTAGCTACTTGGGAAGCTGAGGCAGGAGGATGGCAAGTTCAAGACCAGCCCTAGCAACTTAGGCTCAAAACCCTGTCTCCAAATAATAAACAAAAAGGACTGGGGATGTAATTCAGTGGTAAACCACCCCTGAGTTCCATCACTAGTACCACAAAAATAAATAAAAATTGATGACCTTTCTAGGTTTATGTAACAAAACAATCACATACTACTTTTCAACAACTGTTCAGTTTTATAAATAATTAGAGCAATTCCATCAGGGCATTGAGAATTTCTAAAGACCAATATGCAGGCTCAGAAGAGTAACTTCTTGTTTATATGGTATGTTTGAGTTTCTCTGAGGTAAGTGTCTTCACTGGCTTTTCTCAGCCATTCTTAAAACTCTACTTCCTGAGAACATCATGAGCTCCCTCTATTGGACTCAGCAGACATTTCTTAGATTTATTAATCCAAAGGTAGTCTAATATAAAGTTTACATGTACCTTAAACATTCTTTCAGCATTTCTCAAAAATGTACAAGATGTAGAAAGAAAACAAAGACACATGGGCAAAAACATTTTCTTTCTTCCTTTTTTTGGTACCTGGAATTGAACTCAGGGGCACTCAACCAGTGAGCCACACCCCCAGCCCTATTTTGTATTTTATTTAGAGACAGGGTCTCACTGGGTTGCTTAGCAAGCCTCCCTTTTGCTGAGGCTAGCTTTGAACTCGGGATCATCTTGCCTCAGTCTCCTGAGCTGCTAATATTACAGGCGTGTGCCACCACTCCCAGCACCAAAAATATTTTCTAAGAAAAACTGTGCAAAGATACACACAAATCTATTTTGAAAAGTAAAACCTACAAATAAGTCAATTTTCAAATTAAATATACTGAAAAGTGCAATAGTTTGTGGTATTATCCAAGTACACAATCTTATATTATTGGAAAAAAAAAAGACAACAGAATTGTATTACTTTGGCTGAAGAATAAATCAACATGATGCATATTAAATAGCTTCAAGAGCTCTTAGTGGCTGGGGGTGTAGCTTAGTGGTAGCACACTTGCCTTGTAGTGCATGAGGCCCTGCTTCAGATCTCCAGCACCACAAACATGCACACACAAAATCTATTAAATATATACTTTTCCAATTACCTGAGAAGTTTTTCTTTTTGTTTGGTTGTGAGTGACTTTAAGAATTCCACTTCTGGATCCTCTTCACCCTCACTTGCAACATACTCCTGAGTCAACAAAGACATCAAATTGCTAAATTTTCAGACAAGTAGTTATCAGGAAAGAAAACATTCATAAACAAGATTTTTTTTATAGGGACATACTATAGATGAATATGGTATTTTGGACTAGGAACTGCAAATGGAATTTTTTCTTTTTCTTCTTTTTGGTACCAGGGATTGAACTTAGGGATGCTCAACCACTGAGCCACATCCCCAGCCCTATTTTTTGTATTTTATTTAGAAACAGGGTCTCACTGAGTTGTAAGTGCCTTGCCTTTGCTGAGGCTGGCTTTGAACTCATGATCCTCCTGTCTCAGCCTTGTGAGCCGTTGAGATTACAGATATATCTTACTGTACCTGGCTGCGAATGGAATTTTAAAAATTTCTTTGTAGTCTACCTGTTACAGTGGATCATAAGATGTTAATACAACTGCCTTGCTAACATTAGAAAACTTTATCAGGAAGAAAAGAAAAAATGAACACAGAAACAATCTTTAGATTTCTTGAATTTCAGCATTTTCCTATTTAAATATTTTATCTTTAAAATAATTTAATGAAATTTAAAAAACAAGAAGATCATGAGAGTCTGGGAGTGTAGCTCACTGGTAGGGCACTTGTTTAGCATGTAGCTAATTACCAACACTGTTAAAAAAAAAATAATGAATCTTATAGGAAGGTCAAAATATCCACAGATATCCATAATTCTAGCCTTTATAATTTTAATTGTATGTTATCGAATACATACTAATACAACCCTTCAAACTCAACTATTTTCTAACTTTAATAAATTAAAAAAGTTTAAAAATATTTTCTGTAATTTTTAGGAGTTTGCCTATATATTTCTTACCATTAGTTCAATTTAATGTCATGTCAGGGGTGAGTTGAAAGGAAGGGAAAAACAATCTTAACACTCATTCGGTTATTTTATCCATATAAACACAGAGGAGCCGTTTCACTTATTAAAATATAGGTTTATAAACAATTTCTCATTTAGGTTAAAATAATAAAGAGGCAAAATCAAAATACATTTTAGGAATTTTCTTTGCTCTATGTGACTTTCTTATGGATATATGCATATTGGAAACATTAAGTAGCAATTCACAAGCAATCACATTTAGATTTATAGACATTTTCAGCTTACTGATAAAAAGATCATTACCTGTGATGGATCATTTGCGGTCAAGTTTCTCCCCAGTACATTTCGTTTCAGTGCAAACCCACTGTTTCTCATCTCCGCTATTAGCTCCGAGGGGTGCATCGATGGCCCTGTTCACAAAAATCACAGTTTGAATGTATCATTATATCTCTCTACCTTTTTCGGACTCCACAGTAGGAATGCAGTTGAAGCTTTGTTAAGTAAAATCATAGCTAAATCAACTCAATAATCTTCTGCTGAGCAAATAATCAGATATGATTTTCTAAAACAGCAGTCTGGAGATTCAGAATAGAAAATAATTGCATTTTTCTTTACGTGCAAGGGGATTCTCTTATGCAACTTTGTCATATTGAAAAAGATATATTTACATGTTGTTTGGTTGGAAGTTTTTAGTATAAGATCAAAACAAAATGACAAACTACAATTAAACTTTTAATAGTTACTCTCTCAGTAAGAATTCACTTAAAAGAGATATTTTTACAGGTACATACACAATTTATTATCCTACTTTCCAAAAGAAAATTCCTTACCCCTGCTTATCAAACACTAATATTGAATACAATGCTGTAGGGTTGATATTATCAACAGTCTTGCCTCCATGTCTACTGAGTAACGACTAGGCTCTTTAATCTCACTTATAAAATATGCCCAGATTTTGAAATTTCTAGTTATTAGTTTTGGGTTGATAAAAGCAATTTTAGGATAGGTATAGGTGTGCATATTTTATATTTTTCGTAAGCTACTGTTTGCAAAATCCCAAACTGAAAAGTGAGTTTCTTTTTGGTCCTGTGATACGGACTAACAGAATATACATTATAAAAAAAAGTTGAAAGGTCTGTCCTATTCCCTCAAAATAAGGCTATGTAAAGCAGAAGAGATTCTTCACTCTTAATTTTCTTTTTCTTTTAAATATTTTTAGTTGTAGATGGATACAATGCCTTTATTTTACTCATTTATTTTTATGTGGTGCTGAGGATCGAACCCAGTGCCTCACATGTGCTAGGCAAGCCCTCCACCACTGAGCCACAACTCCAGCTCCTTCTTTTCTATATTCCTGTTCCATTTTATTTTCCCTGTAGCTAAGAAACTGACAACATTTCATGGTAACTACATCCAAATTTCTGTACATTAGCTTAAATGAACTACCCTGGGCCACATGTCTGTAATACAAGGAAGACAGACAGTTACTGAAGACAAGGACTTCATAACAGATGGTAGGAGACAGAGAAACATTCAGAAACAGATTCTCTAGTTTGTTCATTAAAAATTTTGTCTATTTTTTCCCTTTTCTCTTCTTTATTGGTCTTTTACCACTTATTTATCGTTAATATGGTAACTATCTGTTACCATGGAAAACAAAAGGCAATCAAGGAGCTGGGGATGTGGCTCAAGTGCTTGCCTGGCATGCATGCGGCCCAGGTTCGATCCTTAGCACCACATACAAACAAAGATGTTGTGTCCACCGAAAACTAAAAAATAAATATTAAAAAATTCTCTCTCTCTCTCTCTTTAAAAAGAAAAAAAAATAAGAACTTAAAACAAACAAACAAAAAAACCAAAAGGCAATCAATCCAAATCTGTTCATTTGTCAACAGCAGCTTTGGTAAAACTGGGTGGAAAAGGGTATTGCTCTCCAGGCTTTACCATTCTAGTCATGTTATCAAGAAAAACTGAATGGCTACTCTAGCTGTGAAGGAGAGAATAGGGAGGAAACTGCCTAACATTGACATATGGGGAGAGTTCATATTTAATTCCTATGGATTACTTTAATGACCCTTTAAAAATTACAATATGGTTGTATATATTGACAATAAAATTTTAAATAAAAATCAAATTTCAGGGGCTAGGGTTGTAGCTCAGTGGTAGAGTGCTTGCCTACTACATGTGAGACACTGGGTTTGATTCTCAGTACCACATAAAAATAAGTAAATACGCTGGGGCATGTAATCCCAGTGGCTCAGGAGGCTGAGACAGGAGGACCACAAGTACAAAGCCAGCCTCAGCCAGTGGTTAAGTGCCCCTGGGTTCAATTCCTGGTATCTCCCTCCTCCCCCCAAAAAAGTAAATAAAATAAGGGTATTGTGTCCATCTACAACTAAAAATTTTAAAAATTCAAAATTTAAGTATTAGTTACTAGTTGTCTCTAAATGGCATAAAAGTGCTCATACAATTAATGGCTTCACATGAATGAATAACAGCTCCGTGTACTTCAGTGGTAGAATGCTTACCTAGTGTATCTGCAAAGACGGGGGTTTGAGCCACAGCACAGCAAAATCCAAAAACCCCAAACCCCGAACCCAAAACAACAGAATTGGTGGGATTCTCAAATTTCACATGTAGGAACATACTTTTAGAAAGTAGAAAATGTGTCCTCTGAACTGTCAAAAATACAATTCCCTGTTAACTTTATTAGATGTCATATAAATTCAGAAAGCAAATATGCTAAGAATTAAGACAAAAACCACTCTAGTAAAGGGCCAAAGAGCTTGGTCATTAGGATGAGAGGTTACCACTAATTTCATTAGTTTTCATCACAAGATGGATAATTTTAATGTTTTAGAAAGCATGCATTTTTTACAGTACTTCCAACTACTTCAAGAAAATGTTCTCTTTTATCAATGTGACAGATTATACAGATTACACAACAACTATTACTCTTATGGCATTTATATTTCTTAAAACCCCAACCGAACTTTGTGCAGTACAAAAACAGCATACATTACTACTTTGTAAATAGTGTTTAGTGAAGTGCCTGACAAACAGTACTCAATTAATAGTAACAATTCATTTTTACCAGTAGCTATATAATCTTTATGATTATTTTACAACAGTCTATAATTCTTAAAAATTGTTCTTAGTAGTAACATTTTTCAAATCTAGTCTTATTCACCTTTATTTTTTGGGTACTGGGGATTTATTTAGTTGGTTTTGTGTGTGTGTGTGTGTGTGTGTGTGTGTGTGTGTGTGTGTACGTGTAGTGCTGGGGATCAAACCCAGTACCTCATGTGTGCTAGGCAAGCACTCTTCCACTGAGCCACAACCCCACCCCAGTATTGGGGATTGAACCCAGTGGTTATTAACCACTGAGACACATTCCTAGCACATTTTACTTTTTATTTTGAGGCAAGATCTTGCTGAGTTGCTTAGGGGTCTCATTAGGTTGCTGAGGCTGTTCTCAACCTTGTGATCTACCTGCTTCAGCCTCCGGAGTCACTAGAACTACAGGAGTGAGTGTGCCACCATGCCTGGCTTATTTTTGTACTTAAATCTCCTAGCATCAAAAGTTCTAGGTTTAAATCTCTGTGTTTAGAAGATGTGACAAGTCAAGTTTAATTAAGATATATTTAGCAAGACATCTTTATACTTTCATGTCACTGTGGCAGTGGCTATGTAGAGTTATACTGACAGAAATGACACTAGGCTGAGAACTCAAAATTCATTGATAATACAGATATGCTAATAAAACAGATTATGCAAATGTTCAAATACAAAAAATAACTACATTTTTAATGTATGATATCTTAATTTAAATTACAAATGGAGTTGGGTCTCAGAAATATTTAGTTAACTCTTAAATTTACTATGACAGAATAATTCTAGAGATTTCAGTAAAACGTAGACTTGCAAGGGCTTTCTACATCATTCAGCCACACTGGGTTAGGCCTCTATAGCATAAAAAACAATTTCTGATTTAGGAAGCAAGTCCATTGAAGGAATTACTCTCAATATTAATTTATTCTGCAAACTTTTCTTATTGTAATATGGCAATATTGTAAAGTGTCAAAGTACCAATAGTGCTACGGTGTTCAGTTCTATATACTAATTAGACGTGGACTATGTTCTCTCAGGAAAAATACCATGCAATCAGTAACTCAGGAAAGAAAAAATTCTCAGAAGGTAAATTAAGCTGCACAAATTATGTTTGTAAGGGGCTGAATCTACTCATTAAGGACATTTATTTTAGCCAGGCTCACTAGTGCATACCAGTAATCCCAGCTATTTGAGAAGTCAAGGCAAGAAGATCACAAGTTTGAGAGCTGTGTGGGCAATTTAGCGAGACCTTGTCTGGGGAGGTGGGGTGTATACGGGGATGTAGCTCAGTGTTAGAGCATGTTTGAGGCCCTTGGCTTAATCCCCCGGGTTTGATCCTCAGCACCACATAAAAATAAAATAAAGATATTGTGTCCACCTAAAGCTAAAAAATAAATATATATAAAACTGAACAAAAGCAATGAGCAATAGAAGGTCAAAAATGTTCTGCAGTAAAATAGGTATTTTATCCCAGATAAATATACAAAGCCAAAGGTCTGGCTATGAGGAAAGGCCACAAATCTGACTCCTCCACAATTAGAAGACAGCAGTCCCAGGTGAATGCCACAAATGGCACAAGGGGGAGACTAAGGTAGAAGACAAGACAGACCCTTGTTGTGTTCTGCTGCCAGAGTTAGGTCCATCTACTATTCCCACTGTCAGATGTATCTTCCATTCTGAGTTCATTATTCTTTTTAAATGAAGTATTGTCTAAAAATTTAATGGTATAAGAGAAAATCGGATGAATTGTAGGTTGAGTAAGGCTTCATTATAAATGCCTTTTTATCCTTCCCCCAAATTTTACATGTTAATTTATAGGGATGTTGTTTGCTAAACTAAACTGCTATTCTGAAAGTGAATACAGTTTTGCTCGCTTTTACTGTGGTGATCTATTTTTTTCCCTTTCTAATATATGTGTGTGTTCAGTGGTGTTGGGGATTGATCCCAGGGATTTTGTGTGCTAGGCAAGCAAACTTTTTCTAAACTATATCCCTAGCCCAACTATGTCTTTTGAATTTAATTTTATGGTACAGAATGTTTCAAACCTATGTAACATAGCTTCAAGCATGTATTATTTTACCATTCTTGTTTCATCTATTACATCCAACTTTCTTTTCTGGAAAAGTATTTTAAGCAAAATCTCAGATATCACTTTGGTATGAATCAGTAAGGACAATTTCTTAACATTGCAATATTTTTATTATACCTATCAATATTGATAATTTAAAAAACCATCTAATATCCAGTTTATATTTAAATTTCTCCAATTGTATCTAGTTTTCTAATCTTAAAAAATTTA